AGGCTGCTAATGTTCCCATTGTTAGTTAATTGTAGTCAATTAAGGCTCCTTTACTTTGCCAGGTGGGGTAAAGGAGCCTTGTTGTAAATGACAGTAAGGGAATCCTCAGTTAGGAAGGGCTGTGTGGGCTTTCTCGCTTTTTTTTCCCTCTGCCAGAGAGGCACAGGGGGGTCAGATTACAGCTCAGGATCTATTTTACTTACCCATTTTTAAAAATGCGGGACCGTGATTAGCAAAACTGTGTGACTTTCTTGTGTGAAAGTCTGAGCAATTTAAAGCGTCATTCTACTTTACAGAACACCAAACAACAAAATAAAAGTCATGTAATCTAAATGAAAATCCAGGATTATAACTGGAATGCAGGGTCTTGGTTACCAAGTATTTGTAACTTAATTTTCATGTGTTTAGGAAATGCTGAATGGTTAGTATGATTTTTTTTTTCTCTGTACGGTAGTTTAAATAAATTACCAAAATAAGTGAAACTGGTGTGATTATATGGCATTATTTTGACAAATAAAATTTGCAGAATTTTGGATTTTTTTGGTGCAGAATTCCCCCAGGAGTAGCATGGTAGAACTGGGATATTCTCTCCTGTTCAGCTCCCGGTCCTTGCCTTTGGCTTGTCAGCAGCACCTTGGGTGTTCACCAAGTGCTTGGCAGTTATGGCCACTTTTTTTGCGGAAGTGCCAGGTGCAGGCGTTTCCATACCTCGACAACCGGCTGATCCAGGACCACTCCAAAACACAAGTGGAGGCACATGTAAGCCTGATAAGAGCAACATTCAATGACCTTGGCCTTCTACTGAACATGCAGAAGTCAACCCTGTCCCCTGTTCAGAGGATAGAATTCATAGGGGCAGTGTTGGACTCAAGACAGGCCAGAGCATCTCTACCAGAGTCACGGTTTCAGACCCTTTGTGACATCATACAAGGTCTCAGACAATTCCCTACCACTACGGCAAGGAATTGCCTGAAGCTCCTCAGCCACGTGGCCGCCTGTACTTATGTAGTGCAGCATGCCAGACTGAGGCTCCAACCCCTTCAGGCGTTGCTAACCTAGGTTTATTGACCAAACGGGGACAGTCTAGACAAGGTAGTCACTCCTTCCCAACCAGTTCTTGAGTCTCTTCTGTGGTGGTTCAACCCGCAAGCTGTGTGTGCGGGCATTCCCTTCTGCAGACCTCAACCATCTCTTTCCCTGGTCACAGACATGTCAGGGATGGGGTGTGGAGCGCATCTGGGGGAGCTCAGGACTTCAAGCCTCTGATCCCACGCGAAGCTCTTACTTCACATCAACGTCAGGGAGCTGAGGGCAGTCCGTCTGGCATGCCAGACCTTCCAAGCTCACTTGGAGGGGAGATGTCATCAATCATGACAGACAGACAGCAATATTTTATATTAACAGACAGGAAGGAGCATGCTCATCTCCCTTGTGCCAGGAACAGTCCCTCAAACTGTGGGACTTCTGCATAGCCCACTCAATACACTTGGAGGCACCTTATCTTCCCGGAGTTTAAAACGAGTTGGCAGACTATCTCAGCAGGTCCTTTCACAACCACGAGTCGTCCATCCACCCAGTGTCATGAACACCATCTTCCAACAGTGGGGAATTTCCCTAGATAGACCTGTTCGTGACAGGACACACTACGAAGTGTCTGCTTCTTCCTGAGTCACGCCCTGGGCTCTATCACGGTCACATTCCTTCTTCCTTGGAAGGATCACTTCCTTTATACATTTCCACCCATTCCACTCGTTCACAAGGTGCTAATCAAGATTCGGAGGGAAGAAGCCTTGGTAATATTGATAGCTCCAGCCTGGCCCCATCAGCACTGGTATGTGTCTCTTCTAGAGCTGTCAGTGGAAACTCCGATCACTGTACCGCTGCTCCTGGACCTGATAACTCAGGACCATGGCCGTCTTCAGCACCCCAACCTCGAATCTCTCCATCTCATGGCTTGGAAGCTCTATGGCTAAACCCAATGGAGTTTGCTTGCCGTGTTCCAGTTAGGGAAGTCCTCCTTGGCAGTAAGAAACCATCCACTAGGGCCACCTACCTAGCCAAATGGAAGAGATTCACAATTTGGTCAGCGCAGAAACACGTCTCCTACACACTCAACAATACCTCTTATCTTGGACTGCCTTCTGCACCTGAAGCAGCAAGGGCTTTCTATTTCATCAATAAAAGTCCACTTGCCTGCCATTGCCGCGTTTCACCCAGGCGTGGCGGGCTAGTCGGTCTTTGCCAACCCAATATTTGGATGCTTTCTTAAACACTTAAGTACGACAACCGATCCCACCCTGGGACCTTAACCTGGTTCTTTCCAGACTAATGAGGCCCCCCTTTGAACCACTCGCGACATGCTCCTTGCTCTTATGTATCATCGAAGGTAGTGTTTCTGTTGGCAATAACATCTACCAGGAGGGTATCCTAGCTTAAGGCCCTAACATCTGAGCCTCCTTACACAGTCTTCTATAAGGACAAGGTTCAGCTTCGGCTGCACCCTGCCTTCCTCCCGAAGGTCATCTCCCAGTTTCATGTTAATCAGAATATTTTTCTTCCAGTCTTTTACCCTAAGCCACACGCAAACAGCCAGGAACAGAAACTTCGCTCTTTGGATGTTCGCCAGGTGTTAGCCTTCTATATCGAACAAAGCCATTTTGGAAATCTACTCAACTATTCATTACAGTAGCAGACAGAATGAAGGCGCTCCCAGTCTCTTCTGAAAGAATTTTGTCACGGATTACATCTCCATGTCTGGAGAAAATACCTGTCCCCACGCTGACAGTGCACTCCATGAGGGGTAAACAGTGAGGTGGCAAAATCTGCATAAGATACAAAACTACTCAAGATAGTTAAGTCCAAAGCAGACCGTGAAGAGCTACAAAAGGATCTCACAAAACTGGGTGACTGGGCTACAAAATGGCAGATGAAATTCAATGTTGATAAATGCAAAGTAGTGCACATGGAAAAACATAATCCTAACTATACATATAAAATGATGGGGTCTAAATTAGCTGTTACCACCCAAGAAAGAGATCTGGGAGTAATTATTGATAGTTCTCTGAAAACATCCGCTCAATAGCAGTGGCAGTCAAAAAAGCGAACCGAATGTTGGGAGTCATTAAGAAAGGGATAGACAATAAGACAGAAAATATTATATTGCCTCTATATAAATCCATGGTACACCCACATCTTGAATACTGTGTGCAGATATGGTCTCCCCATCTCAAAAAAGATATATTGGAATTGGAAAAGGTTCAGAAAAGGGCAATAAAAATGGTTAGGGGTATGGAACGGCTTCCGTATGAGGAGAGATTAAGACTTGGACTTTTGAGCTTAGAAAAGAGACAACTAAGAGGAGATATGATAGACGTCTATAAAATCATGACTGGTGTAGAGTAAGTAAAATGGAAGTGCTGTTTACGCCTTCTCATAACACTAGAACTAGGGATCACTAAATGAAATTAATAGGCAGTAGGTTTAAAACAGAAGGAAGTATTTTTTCACACAATGCACAGTCAACTTGTGGAACTCCTTGCCAGAGGATTTTGTGAAAGCCAAGACTATAACAACAGGGTTCAAAAAAGAACTAGATAAATTCATGGAGGATAGGTACATCAGTGACTGTTAGCCAGGATGGGCGGGAATGGTGTGAATGGGAAGCTGGGAATGGGCGACAGGGAAATGGATTACTTGATGATTACCTGTTCTGCTCATTTCTTCTGGGGCACTTGGCATTGGCCACTGTCGGAAGACATGATTCTGGGCTAGATGGACCTTTGGTCTGACCCACTATGGCTGTTCTTATGTTTCAAAGCGCAGGCACTGTGTGTCAAGTTGGGCATCCATAATTAGAAGATATTTTGGCAAGTGTTGGCCTAAATTTATAAAGTGCTGAAGGATCCTTCAGGATCAAAGGAGCTTGACTGTATTATACAAGCTTATTGTCTTTTACAAACTGAGCCTTAAAATGTAATTTGCATTCTCTTCCCGTAAATTGGTTGTAGAGAGAACATCTCTGCCAAGAATCTGCTATATAATACAATAGCCTCACTGGGAACTTCAGTCCTTTGACTCCTAGACTTTTGGCTTGCCAATGGTTAAATAATAGTATTTGTTCTGTGAAATAATTTGCATAGTATTACATTTGTTACAGGCTTTTTGTGCAGTAAAAACAGCACAGCGATACCATTGGTATTCTCCCCAGGCATATCAAAGTACAGTGTGTAACAGTGTCACTGGATATATAATTACCTGGAAGATTTATTGTGGAACTGTGTGAGAGACTGCTTAGCTGTGTGAAAGACTTGCCTGTTGTAAACTTCCTGTGCAACAGACGTACTTTCAGATGGCCGTGTACACGCATTCTGGGTAGTTCAAGATGGCCCAATGAGTCAAACTGCTTGGTGTTTGATTTTCTGTCCCAGCCTCTTCTTCCCCAGACTAGCAGAAGCTACAAGTGCTGAGGGGCTATAGCATACTCTCCCTATACAGGGAAAAGACATTACATTATATAGTAGCAAACCCTCCAGCTGAAATTTAAGGCAGTGTTGATGAGCTTTGAAAGGAGTCCTACAATTCTCTTTGGGAAGGCTTATGGCCATAATTTGGGCTCTCAGTGTCTGGAAGAGTGTAAAGTGGGTGTTAAGGGATTAGGAATAAACTTTCTCCACAACTCCCCTGAATGCATATTGTTACATAATTATCCATTATGTGGGATTACACCGTCCCCTCAAGCTGTCAGTGTCAGAAACAAGATACCAAGCAAGATGGGCCACTAGCCTGATCTAATATGGCAGTTTCTATTTCTTTTATTTTATGTGTGAGTACGCTAACAAAGTTTCAGAATTGGTGTGAGAGGGGAGGGGCGGCAGGGTGCAAGACAGAAAGGATTGACATTTCAGAAGAGAGGGATAAAAGGGACAATATAAAGAGCAATTGTAAATGTTTTGCCTGCCGTCAGATTTTGCTAACGGCTTTAAGTCTGTTCCTCATTCCAGAGAGCTACATGTCCAAGAACTCTGAAGATGATGAACCAGCAAAGGAATCAAAGCAGTCTATTCGAAAACGTAGCCGAAGCACAGATGAATACTCAGAAGGAGAAGAGGATGGGGATGAACCAGAGGAGGGGAGACCTGTCCGCAAACGGCTGAATCGAATTGAAACAGATGATGAAGATAACTGCGACAATGCGAACAAAGATGCAGAAAAGCCTGCACCTGCAAATAAGCCATCAGCACCTCATGCTCCTCATGACAGCACCAAGAAGCCCTGCTACCGGATAGAAAGTGATGATGAAGATGACTTTGATAATGTAGGGAAAGTAGGAAGTCCGTTGGACTACAGCCTAGTGGACTTGCCTTCCACCAATGGACAGAGCCCAGGTAAAACTATTGAGACCTTGATTGGCAAACCAAGTGAGAAGACTCAAGCCCCCAAAGACAGCACAGCCAATGCCACCCTGGCACCCAATGGGACAGGGGGTGGGCAGGAGGTAGTAGGGCCAGAGGAAGAGGAGGATGAACTTTTGAGAGTGACTGACCTTGTTGATTACGTCTGTAACAGTGAACAGTTATAAGACTTTCTTCCATTTTTGTGCTAATTTATTCCACGGTAGCTCATACCAGCGGGCCAGTTATTAAAAGCTGTTTTATTTTTCCTAAAAGACTCTCCACTACAGTATCACTTTTTAGAAGCAAGAATTTCACCAGTTCTGCAGTCTTTCTGTGAAGTGACCAGTTTTGAACTTTGAAGATAAATTGCTGTAAAGTCCCTCTTAATTTTTTTCTCTCCTTCCAAGTCCATGGTCCTGGGTAATTTCATTCACAAAAACCTTATAACAACAAGAGATTTGTATATTTTTGACTTTATATTTCCTGAAAGCATACAAATTTGTTGAAATGTGTGGCCTATGAAAGCATTCCAAATCGGTCTGGGCCCAAAACGTAACTGGGGCAGGGGGCAGTGGGAGGCGGGAATGGGGGTGTGTGTGCAGAAACACTTGTGCTCTAGCTTTTTCATATGAGATATATATTATATTTAAATGTTCACAACTTAGATTACAATTTAACAGACAAGTTTAAAAATTAATGTCTCTACTGTTGCATTTTGTGAGTTGTAGGTTAACATACATAGCTCATTTTAGTAACCACCTTCATGAAAGCAGCTTGATTTAAGACTGGAGATAACCACGGTAAATAAAGAGGCCGAGAAAGTACAATAAACAAGAACTCTAGTATCCATTTTGACTTGCAGAGTTTCCTGATAAACATCCTTTAAAGTGTTTGTACAGTAAAGTGTACTGTAATGAAGTTTTGACGGTTGAAACGTGCCAGCAATGAATTTATAAAACAGGTTTTCCGTGCATATTTCATCAGATGGCCTTTAATGTACAGTATCTGGTGGGAGGGAATCTCAGTGTGAAGTTAGTTTGTAAGTGGGATGATACCATGTGAGTGCTGTAAACTTTTACAGATGCCAGAACCACTGTATAAAGTAACTGCCTGGCCATTTGAGTTTTAAACCATATATCAGGGTATTTTGAAAGGAATATGTTTGTACATACTGCATTGACCACAGGATTACAGCACATCTGATGATGGAGGGATTTTCAAATAAACCTTGACTGGTCCATTCATGCCCCTAATATCTACTTCAAATTGAAGTAAACAAATGGAGCAGTTTTCCTTTTGGAGGTTTTCTGTTTTGGATTTGCGTGTTTCTGTTTTGATTTACTTATCTGCCTGGATGTACTAGCAGGTTTTGAATGTAGTGTTGGCCTTTGGCCATTAGAATTTTCTTAAAATACATTTTAATAGTTGTCATGTGACCAACTGATTTCAAGAAGGCAGTATTTCTGGGAGAAAATGCTTGACTCCAAGACAATATCTCATCACTTTGAGTGGCATATACTTTAGCTCAAGTATATAGATTTTTTTTTAACAGTTTATTTGGCACATAATAGACAGTGAAGCTGAAGTTTGTTTTGGATAGCACTCAGTTTTCTCTTCGCTCTTAATTAAGATGCAGGCTGTAAAGTTTATACATGTTGTAGCCCACAGCTAAAACATAGCTGCCAAATGTTGAAATCGAATAAGGTCACATCTATTAAACCTTTCGCGCTGAGATTTGGATTTCCCCCCCCCCCGGTGTTATGTCCATTGCCGGCAATGGATACACCAAATTTGCTGCTGGCACCAAGGAGAGAATTCTCCTTCCTACCCCCATCCCCACCTCCTCAATGTCGTATTGACGAGTCAGTCAGTAGTTAAGCACTTCTATTTCATTGTAATAAAGCTGGCATTAGGCCTTTACTAAATACCTCTCTAGAAAACCTAGATCCAAAAATACCTACCTTCTAGCCTTGAAAGTCCTTGTTTTTGTTTTTCCCCTCTGTCCATGTTAGTTCTGTAGAACCGACTGCATTAATGTTATTTCATTGGAATTCTAGCAGTTCATATATCCTCACGTATAAAACTAGAACCATCAAAGCTGCAAAAGGTTAGGACCCACTCATCGTTTGCTATGGTAAGCAAGGTTTGTAACTTAAGAAAATGAGAATTCACTCTTTCTTTCCCAATGAGTTTATTCCATTTGAATTTTTAAACAACGAATTATTTCCACCATGTCAATTGATAGTTAACAGGTTTCATTAACAGATGTTTAAACAGGGTAGTGCGAAAAGCCACAGAAGTTTAGAAAGTGTTCTTAAAAGCCTATGTAGCATTTTAAGCTACTACACAGTATATGCTTTTTTTTTCCCCCTTAGGTGATGCAACAATGTAGTGCTGCTACATTTCTAATATACTTGTGTTTCAAATGATCAATGACATGTGGCTCCCATTTTTCAATGTTAGTAACTGTGCATTTTTAATATTTGCAATGCAAACTGTCTGATTCACATATGCAATACTCTGCAGCCAAGACTTCTGTTTTGTTTAGGCAGTGCCATAACCCTTTTGCTCTCTGACTTAGCCTTTTAGTATCTGATCAGTGCTGTAGCAAACATTCTTGCTATTGCATTAACTCTAAATTATAGACACGTAGCGGGCAACTAATTTCAATGTAAGAAAAATACAAAAGAGTTGGAAGTATTGGATATGCAACCAGAGGAAAAAAATCAAATATTGTGGCTTAATTGTGGGAATGATGTAAAAGCAGACAATATCATAAAGTCCAGTCAGAACACTGGAACAGATGATCCAGTTATTTTTCAGGTACTGTCAGTTCTGAAAATATGTACATGACTTTGACACTGCTCGGAGCTTTACTTCCTGTATGTCAGTTTTGTAGACTGACCTTCTATTTGATTAAGAAAAAGTCATCTCTGGTGTTAATGTCATCCCAAAGAGTCCAAGCCTGAAACTCTCTTACACAGGCAAAGCTCCCTTTTATATCAATGGGAATCATATCTGAGTAAAGACTGCAACATTTGGCTCAAAGAGAGGGCTACATTTTCAACATGCTCCCAATCCCCAGTTTTGAAGATTTTCTGCTTGATGGGAAATGTATAGTATCTTCTTTGGGAAATGGCACTTCTTGATAAGAGCACAAGTGACCCCTAGTCAGATGTTAAGAATATTTTCATTAGTCCACACTATGGAAATGTCTTCCAGTTGATTTAGTGTCATTTGCAGATTGTGTTCTACTGTAATCTTGGTAAGGAATGAAGTGCAATGTTTTTGGATTATGTTAATGTCCACAATGAATACTAATCTTCAGCTGTGGCTTAAGTTAATAAGCAAAAGATCAAATAATTTTAGAAACACAATAGAGACTTGCCTTGGGTTATTTAACAGAATAGTTCCAATTGGAAAAGAATAAGCAGATATCAATCCTATATGTAAGGATTTGATTACACAAACAGCTGCCCATCAGGTTGTGACTAAAAGTTGCTATACGGGTATTGCAGATTTTTAAGTTGAACATTGTTTAGTGCAGAACTGACTGGGAAGAAAGTTAATTAAGTGCAGTTTAGGTTTTAAGCAGCATTGTAGAGTGGAGGAAGGTACAAGTTGAGGGAATGAAATGAGGGATGGAAATTTCTAATCCATTTCACAAAGAGAAGAGTAATATTTGCTGGCTTGCAAACCACTTGTATGAGCATTGGTGTCAAAAGTGTACAGTAAATTCACTTCACTCTAAATCGATGTGATGGATTACATTAACAAAGCCCGTAATATAGTAAGAACTTCACCATGGCTGTTTTTGTCGTCTTTGATTCTTCTAAATGAGTGTATTCCTGGTTTTAAAAAACAAATGTAGACACAGTTTATGTCTCTTTGTTTAATTATGAGTACAGGAAGATCAATACTAAACAATGAACTCTTTGAGCATTTGATAGTTGATTCAGAGCTGTGCACATTAAATTACGTGAACACATTGACACGTTTTCTTTATCTAATGGCTTTTGCATTGTAACTGCACTTGAGAAGAACAGTGATGCTTTTTTCTATATTTTGTTTATAAGGTATGTCACTGTCTTTAAGACTATCCTTTTGGATTAAGGTGCCTCAGTTGCTCTTCTGCTAATGGAAGTTGGCTTGTATTCCATTTGCTTCTGTTTTGTCTTCACTGTGTCTGAACACCTCATGAGAGACTGACTTATTCAGAGAACCTCAGGCAGCATATATGTTCATAAAAGAAAAAACCTTTGCATGGCAGTCCATTTGTTCTAATTTATCTTAGTATCTTTATCATTTGAACTATGTGACTATCCAAATGCTGTAGTAGTTCAATAATTCTAATAGTACACTGTCAGGGTGTCCATTACAAACCTCTGTTTTCATGCATTTCTAATTTTGCATTGAAAGCTCTTCAGCATGAAGACTTGGCCCAACAGTCACTTTTTAAAACTTGCTTCCAATCACACAGTTTCACAAACTAGCTTTCTTAAAAGTAAACAAGATAAAGGCACCTGGGTTTTTAAAATCCCCTTTGTATACATTAATTAAATAATATTTTGCAGTCATGCTAGTCCAAAAATGGTCTAATCAAGATATGTGTCAACTGGCTCAAAATGGCACTCTTTAAGCCTTGAAAAAGTGATTGTGGAACATGTGCAGTGACTACTGTTCACAGGTTTGTATTATAGATTTTAATATACAGGATGCATCCTATGTGCGTATTTATGTAAGAACACTTCCAGTCCATTGGGTAAATAAAATCTTTAAAAAATTGTATATAAATAAATATTAAATCCTTCAAACAGAAACAAATCTTTACTGGAAAAAAAACTATACTGAATGGAGAGGGAAGAAAGAAAGCAGTTCATGTTAAGTAGTCCTGGTCTGCAAGTCCTTACGCACAGGTTTGTCTATGGAAGTCATTAAGACTGCTTTTAGCAATAAAGGTTTGCAGGATTAGGACTAGAATTCTTGATGCAATCTAGGAAATCCTGGCTGCCAATCTTAGCTTTTGTGTTTCACCCCTCACCTGGGGTGAAATGTTGCTTTTAACTGTTTTGGAAGGCAGGAAATATGAAGTGAGCAGAGAGAGGCCTTAATTTTAATTGAACTAATGTTTGCAATATGTATTGACCTAAATTTTCAAAAATTACGAATGATTTTGGATGCCTCAATTTTTGGGTGTCCAGTCAGAGACATGTTAAAGACGCCTGACTTTTCAGAAACAGCAGAATACTCACTCACTGAAAATAAGGCCCCTTTGAGGTGTCTCCTGTTGGACAACCAAAAATTGAGACACTGAAAATCATTAGTCCCTTTTTGAAAATTAAGTCACTTACTAAGCTCTTTTTATAGCATCAGTATAACTCCTTGTTTGAATGACAGAATTCCAAACAGCAAAAAACAAGGTTGCATGGGAATTGAAATAATTGCCCAAAGCTTCAGAGTAATTTAACTTATTTGTACATTCCAAAAAATTTATATTGCTTATAACAATACTTAAATTATGTACAGTTTCTGAAGGAAAGAGTAGAACACTCTAAAGTAGGTAATAGATTTTTACAATTGAGCATATAGTGTAAAGGCTCCAGACACAATTACAACTGTAAAAAGTCTGACAACCTGGGTTTTGAGCTATCACTCTAACTGCTTGCACCCAGTACCTGTTCTCATGAGCAGTAGAGACAAGGCAAATGCAGGCAGAGGGGACACATTGCTTAATAATGGTACTTGTGGCTGTAAATATATCTGAGATTGCTACAAATAACCCCAAAAGTTACTAACTAGAGCTGCAAGATTAGAGGAGGAAAACGTTGCTCTGTTTTTTCCAGTTTGTTTACTTTGTGCACTGGATAGCACTTTGTGTATAGTGAGCCTCACTGGTTCCCAGGGCTAGTCAGAAATTGTTTCCCCCTGTCGTTTTGAATGGATCTTTCAAATGGCAGTACGGGACAGGAAGAAAAAATAGCAAAATGTGATTGCAAACTCACGACCATTTGCAGAAGGGGATTCAGAAAGGCATAGTGTTGAAACAACTTGTAATTCACTCTTAAAAACTGACTATTTCAAATGGACTGTGCCCCTTTAAGACATTGAGGCTGACACCCTCGTGACCTCATTCCTGTCCCCACAGCTGCATAAAAATCTGTGTATGCTAGAAAAGGTGGTTTCCTACAACAGATGAATGAGTGCTATAGGGTAGGTGTGGATGTGGGGGGTTTTGGAGCAATACATTAGATATTTTAACACTGTTTGGCTTTGGCACAATCTGATGGAGGCCACTCTGTATGCTTATCCCTCCTCTTATGACCCAAACAGCTATGCTGATTTGTAATATTTAGCTTAGCCTGTTAGGACGTCGTAACGAATTGTTGTAGCCATGTTGGTCCCAGGATATGAGAGAGAAATGGTGGGTGAGGTAATATCTTTTATTGGACCAACTTCTATTGGTGGAAGGTACAAGCTTTCAAACTACACAGAGCTCTTCATCGGGTGTCTGAGCTAAATACAAGTCGGGATTTTTGTTTGTAGTTAGTCCCAACTTTTTAGCTCAGGCGCTCTGCTTCCTTCCCCAGACCTGAAGAAGAGCTCCGCATAGAACAGAAAGCGTGTACTTTCCACCAACAGAAGTTGGTCCAATAAAATAGATTACCCCACCTTGACTTTCTCAGGACTTAACAAATGATTCTACAGGAAAAAAGCTGTTCTACTGAAAGCCGTAATAGGCCTAGTACTGGCACACCATTTATTAGCTAGATGACTATAAGGTCCTTAATAGATATTAATCTGCTACTAAAGTTAATGTGGTAGAAAAGGAAATCAAATCATAAATCTTTTGCTTTTAATTTCATACTCATATTGACTCTGAAATCTTGTCTTATTCTTACAAGTACATTCATTAAAATGGTACTTCCCCCTAACTGACATTAAATTCTTTTAAATGCCAATGGTTGCTAATTTCTTTCTTGTTTCACAGCTCTCCTTTATAATACATAGCAGCTATCATATGCTTTGGTGTATAATGGCTGTCAAATGGGCACGTTCTGTGTGTTTATACCTGATGTTCATGTCTCTATTCACTGTCCCAGTAAATTTAGTACAGATTGCTTGCTAGCAGAATGGTTGTTCCAATACTCTGTGATAATTAGGTCAAAACTCCCCAATATGGTCTCTTAAATTTTAAGATATGCTTACATGAAATACAGTTTTTGTCTTACTTCTGTGTGCTGTTTAAATGTTGCAGAGAAACCTACAGTTCCTTAAAGTTTATCTCAAATTCACTGATGGCCTCATTTTTGTTTTATCTTACTCTTAAGAGGTAACATGGTAAATTTCCAAACGCTTAGCCGTTCTTTGTAGAGTTTAACCCTTGCTTTGCTTGAGTCCTAAACCTTGATTTTTAAATCTTTCTCTGAAATCATGGCTTGCTATATTTTGAAGGGAAAGGACTGAGGTGCACACACTGCATGTGTTGTGTGTGTGGAGGGGGGGAAATATGTTGAAAAAACTGGAAGTGTAATTCTTGTTGCACATAACTTGGGTGGTGCTTTCACTGTTTTGTTTCCCACCAGTAATTTCACCTGCATGTAAAACATGATACGTTAAAAACTTTAAAACAAAAGTCATGGTGGTCTCAGTGCTCAAAGGGGTTAACTGCAGTTTAATAACAGCTGATGTTTTTAGATTTGCAGTACACAACTGTTTAAATACTGTATTCCTTGTAAATGAAGTAAAAAAAAAAAAATGTTAAGGCTGGTGCCAATATTTTTGTTAATGAAATGTTCATTGTTGTCTGTCACTACAGTCTGGTCAGAACTCTTTGTGTATAAGCTGGGCCTGAAGCCATTTTATAGCTTGTAGGCCTAATTGTGTAACTTTTTCTTTCATAATGTTTTTGTTATAATATCTACTGTCATTTCTTTCCTATAAATATGACATGTAAATTGTCATAATAAAAAAATTAAATAACTTGATGATGTACAAAGTATAATGTGTTTGGGAGAAGCATGTTTGCTTTTAATTATCCTGGCACCTAAATAGCAAGGAGGGGCTTCTTTTTGTCTGACTTTAAGGTAGATAGTAGAAAATGGTTGTGCAAATCGGTCCAGCCTTTGAAAGTGACATTTGTTTGGCTACAAGTAGCAAATTGTGCTGTTTTGTTTATGGCAGTTTAGCCTGGGGGGGTTTCTCTTTGACCAGCAGTTGATGACAGTGAAGAAATTTTAAATTCCTATCTTTTATATAGCTGCGCTTGACTGGTCTTTGCTATCAGTTTTCTTTGTATATCTTCTAAATATACTATTTTTAAAAATAAATATAGGGCTGCTCTATTAGTTGATCCAGAGTGGCAAATTGAGAGACTAGCTGCTTAGGGCCAGATTTTTAAAGGGATTTAAGTAGGGTTACCATATTTGAATATTCAAAAAAAAGGACACTCCAATGAGGGGTGCAGGGGTGTATTTGCTGTGCCCCCCCGCTCCCGGCCCCCGCCCCAACTCCTCCCCTTCCCTGCCCCCATTCCAACCCCTTCCCCAAAGTCTCCGCCCCCTCCCTGCCCCATTAGACCCCTTCCCCAAATCCCCGTCCTGGCCACGCCTCCTCCCCTGAGCGTACCACGTTCCCCCTCCCTCCCAGCTGTGCAAAACAGCTGTTTCATGGCGCAAGCACTGGGAGCTGGGGGGGGAAGCGGGCACTTTCAAGTGATCAACATTCACTCTCTCTTTCTTGAATGATCAACTGTTCTTTGTGGGAAAAATAATAATGGCAAAATCCCGGACATTTTTAGATATTTAAAAATTCCTCCCAGACGGCAATTTAAGAACCAAAAAGCCAGACATGTCCAGGAAAATACAGACATATGGTAATCCTAATTTAAGTGCCTGGTGTGATTTTTCAAAAGCATCTGGGGCACTTACCACCCATGGAAAGCAGTGAGTTTTAGGCATCTAAGTGCTGAAAATCCCACTAGGTGCCTAAATATCTTTAAAAATCTGGCCCTTATTGCTTTAGCTCTGCTGCCACCTGCTCTCTTTGACTAACTAGACCCATGTTTGTACAAAATCTTTGTCATTGTAAGGCTTAAATAAGTTCCTCAAAGTGAGACATCTGAAGCCAGTCTGTCAACAGAGCCTGTCAGACATTTATGGGTGCCTTGGTCAGAGGTTCACAATCTCCTAGATCAGAGTTCAGTAATTGGATTGTAGAGGCAGGTTAAACATAACCTGAAAAAGGATCAACTTTGCTGAGACCTGGGGAATGGAATGTTGGTGCTTGACAAGAGGCCTCCTTAAAGAAACAGCTGCAGTTAAAGGTCCAGTTTAGGAAAGGAAACACATTTGATGATTCCTTAAAATCATGTTGATGGCAAGTAAATTGATTGGGAACCTTTATCGCTTGTAATGTTTTTTTCCTGATGTGGTTTATGGAGACTTTTGGAAAGGGGAGATCCTGGCTGGAACCTGTTGCTTTGTTGGAGTATTAGGAGGCAAAGGAGGAATGGACTGTGTAAGTGGTACACAAAAATGATGTTCAATGACCCTACACAGAGTTCCAAACCAACTGGAATTTGCCAAGCACTGACACAAGTGGAAGAAACGCCTAAATCTACAATAGTTCTTCTTTTTCTGCAGTACAGTGTGGCTATAGCGACCCTAATATTAAGAAGAGTTTAATACAGGAAGGGGGTCATCTTGAATTTGAAAGTGGAAACATCATTTTGTATGGACACGAAAGAACCAAACTCATGCATCTGAGAAGAAAATGTAGAGGATACAGATAAATGGTAGATTCTCAAGGTAGGCAGAGTAAGCTTTGTCTATGCAGTTCTGAGCTGGAGACAGCATGCCATTTATGTGATGCTGTAAATAGGCTCTGATCACTCCACATATTCATTTTTCTTAACCGCTTCAGCTTTGTCTGCCATAATCCACTTAATGGTGCAGCTCACCTAGTGGTGAAAGCGGTTTGGTTCAGTGTCTCTCTTACCACAGCATTATTGTGGTTAAAACACCTAAGCCATGTCTATGCTACAGCTCCCACCATTTCTGTTACTGGTGGAGCTGTACCAGTGATGAATTACAGCCATGAACTCTGTTTGTATAGACAAGGTTTTCCAGGTGTCGTCAGCATCTCCTGACATGGATCACAGCTTTTTAGCCATAACTTACAACCAGCAATATGATATCCAAGCCAGACAATTCCAGGCATAAGGCTCTGAAGCTTTCAGATGGGACTGCAAGAGCTCTGCTTCTTTGTTCACTTATTCATGCATGACAAGAGGTGCATCTGGGCTGAGCCAAGTCCTGCAGAGAATATTAGAACCACTAACTGCGACAAATCTATAGAGAAATGTATTTACAGCTTGTGATAGCCGGTCTGATAGGTGCTTATGGCAATGGGCAATCATAACATTAAGGAAAGGAGTTTTTAGTGGCCAACCAGGAAACAGCCCCAGAAAGTATGGAAGAAAGCAGGAGCTGAATTGGAGATAAATTTGAATTTAGCCTCTGTGAAGTCTCTCTTAACCTATTTCCTTCTACTCTCAGTATACTTTAAATCTAGGCCCTTATTTTTCTTGGGATACAGTGAAATTTACTTGCTGCAGGATTGTGCCAGGCTTGGATTTATTGTTGTTTATTATGTATTGGTATTGTGTTAGCATCTAGGCGCTTCAGTCATGGACCAGGACCCTAGTGTGCTAGGTGCTGTACAAACACAGAACAAAATGATGGCCCCTGTCCCCCAGATCTTAAAATCTAAATATAAGTCAAGAGCATTTAAAACAAACTTTGTTTCTAGCCCTTGCGGCTGGGAAGAAAAGCTTTCGACTATGAACTGTGTAAAATGGCTGCAATGTGTTTTCCTTACTGAAACTGTAGACAACCTAAGATGACTTCTCTGAAGGGTATGAACTTCCCATTTATCTCAGTATCTCAGTGTTGTAACACTGAAGATTAATAATGGTGAATGGAAATGTCAGTGTTGGCTTTCACTGATTATTTTAGCAGGAACCAATTAATGAGCTTATTGTTAGATCCAGCGGCAAATGCTGGCATATGGGTCAGCTGGCTGTTACAGGGAAAGATACTATAGATTTTTCCCCTCCCAAGTGCTAAAAGCCCTTAATAGCTGCCGTATCCAAACCATCTACCCTTCAGTTCCTATCCAAACTCTAACCCTCCCCACCCTCCGCCCCCATACCATCTTCTGCAAGGTAGTTATTCATGGTCAGCACAGAAATCTGTGGCACAATGAAAATAAGTGTGTGTATGGAAGGAGTGTAAACTTCAATTTAACACAAGTCACTGTACTGTTGTTTGGTTTAAATTTTGTACTCAATAAAAACCCTCCATTTAAAAAATTCTTCTGAATCTGATGCAGGATTTCCATTTTGCCCCAGAAGCAGTGGAAAATGCCTAAGGATGGTCTGTATATTAAGAAGCCGGGCAGGGGTCAAATTGAAATGGTGGCTTCATAACCTCTAGTTCATGATCTGTAGTGGACGTGTCTTGTGCAATGTGGAGGGGTCACCTCAAGAAGACAAGAAATTTGCGCTGGTGTAGCCCCACTGATGTCATTATGCTGGTGCAAACCCCTAATGCAGACACATTTTCCTGGTGAAACTTGATTTAGTAAGTTACCTGTACTGGTGCAAGCCCCCACTTTAGACCAGTACAGCATGTCTACACTAGGGACTTGCCGTGGTATAGTTAAAAGGGTCCAAACAAACCCAGTATAGACAGGGCCTAGTTCTGAGAGGGTAGTCTAGTCTTCCGAGCCACAAAGTCACTAACCTCAGTCCTGAGACTGCCAACAAGTGGGCTAAGTAGTAGAGGCTTGTGATGTAGTTAGCTTCCCAGCAGAATCTGATTCCAGGCCTCCAAACTCATATCTCAAGAAGTACCCACACAGTCATCAAAGGGTAAGTTAAATAGTAAGGTGTATATATGACTTTCCTACCTTTAGCTTTCAAGGTGGAATGCGGCCTGGGCCTCTGCCTATCTAACTAATAACTCAGTTTACATGCTGCGATGAAGATCACAGAAGAGCTACTTTGTTCTTTTTTTTCCCTCTTAAATTTGCCACCTTTCATGTTGAGGCCTCCATGCCTTAACTAGTGTCCTCCATTAGTTTCTCTGCATTGTCACTAAGGTGTACTGAGTAGGTTCATCTCTTGTATCTGAACTGGTGCTGACTGTAACACTTCTGTTTGCTTTTTGTTTTCTAGATGATAATGTTTTAAAAAAGAAACGGCGAAAGACACATGCTTTCTGAAACCCAGACTGGAGGTGTGTTTTGAAGTCAGGTCACCAATTGGTCGGGACCCTAAACCCAAAAGCAAGAAAACAGATTTTTCTGGGTGAAATCCCCCCTCATTTTATTTATTAAAGAGTTGTATATACTTGATGGAAGATCAGTGACTGTGCACTGGAAAATAACCTGGCTCAGTGGTCAATGAGTAGTGCAAAGAACCTCTTGAATCAAATATGGAACATGATGGATTGCTCTCTTCCCCATCTCCCTCTCTCTCTTCCCCCACCTCCATCCTGTTTTATGGAGGGTAAAGGAGCCAGATGCTTCAGAAATTGCTGTATGCCTAGGACAACCCCTCTGTCCCTGTAGAAAGGTAGGGGTATGTGGGGCAAGTACCTCCTTGGAAATGTTCATCTTCTCCCTCTCTCTGTTCCTGTAGCAAGTGTCCTGGTGCACAATGCAGTCTCAGCCGCTAGCGTTCACTTTATAGGTCTATACCTAAAAAGTTGCCACTACAGTCTTCTACCCCCTGCCTGCCCTGGAAGCAGCAAGATCATCATGTATGCTTCCAGTGGGTGTGGGCACAGACAGTGGAAGGCATCAGCCAGCAGGATGGAAATAGGGACAAAACAAAAATCTTGCAGATAGGAAAGGAGAGAGGGTAAAAAGGGACAGAAGAACACAGGAGAGAGCAGTTGTGCTGGTGGATGGGTTGTAGGTA